CCATTCATTAAAAATTTTGTTCTTCAGCCTAGAACTCATCGGCACAGGAGACAACTTCCTGAACAAAACACCAACAGCACAGGCTCTAAGAGCAACAATCAATAAATGGGACCTCATGAAACTGAAAAGCTTCTGTAAAGCAAAGGACACCGTCATCAAAACAAAACGACTGCCTACAGATTGGGAAAGGATCTTCACCAACCCTTTATCTGACAAAGGACTCATATCCAGTATATACAAAGAACTAAAGAAGCTGAAAAGCAGCAAAACAAGTAATCCAATTAAAAAATGGGGAACAGAGCTAAACAGAGAATTCTCGACAGAGGAATATCGAATGGCAGAGAAACACTTAAAGAAATGCTCAACCTCATTAGCCATCAGGGAAATGCAAATCAAAACGACCCTGAGATTTCACCTTACACCTATCAGAATGGCCAAGGTGAAAAACTCAAGTGACAACACATGCTGGAGAGGTTGTGGAGAAAGGGGAACCCTTCTCCACTGCTGGTGGGAATGTAAACTGGTACAACCACTCTGGAAATCTAACTGGCGCTTTCTAAGACAATTAGGAATAGTGCTTCCTCAAGACCCAGCTATACCACCAAACTTTGCTCAAGTACACAAAGGGGATACTTGCTCAACCATGTTTATAGCAGCTTTATTTGTAATAGCCAGAACCTGGAAACAACCCAGATGTCCATCAATGGAGGAATGGGTACAGAAATTGTGGTATTTTTACACAATGGAATACTACTCAGCAATCAAAAAGGAGGACATCATAAAATTTGCAGGCAAATGGTGGGATCTTGAAAAGATCATTCTGAGTGAAATATCCCAGATGGAGAAAGACAAACACGGTATATACTCACTTATATAGACCTATAAGATATGATAAACATAATGAAATCTATACACCTAAAAAAGATTATTAAGAGAGCAGACATGGGGTAAGATGATCAATCCTCGTTTAGAAAGACAGATGGGATGTTTATTGAACGTATGACAGGAGTCTACTGAGCACATCTGAAAGACTCTAACTAGCAGTGTTTTCAAAGCAGATACAAAGACTCATGACCAAACCTTCGGCAGAGTACAGGGAATCATAAGAAAGAAGGGGAATTAGTATGATGGGGAAAGGATAGGAGCTCCACAAGGACCAAATATATCTGGGCACAGGGTCTTCTCAGAGACTGTCATTCAACCAAGGACCATGTATGGATTTAACCTAGAACCTCTGCTCAGATGTAGCCTGTGGTAGCTCAGTAACCAATTGGTTTCCCGTAGTGAGGGGAACAAGGACTATTTCTAACAGGAACTCAATGACTGGCTCTTTAACCTCCCCACCCCCCAAGGGAGGAACAGTCCTGTTAGGCCACAGAGGAGAGCTTTGCAGCCAGTCCTGAAGATACCTGATAAAACAGGATTGGATGAATGGGGAGGAGGTCCCCCTCATCAGTGGACTTGGAAAGGGGCACGGTGGAGATGAGGGAGGGACGGTGGGATTGGGAGGGAATGAGGGAGCGGGACACGGCTGGGATACAGAGTTAATAAAATGTAACTGATAAGAAAAAAATAAAATTAAATTAAAAAGAAGAACAAAAAAATTTTGTTCTTTATCTGAAAAAGATGGTATAAAAGAGGATTAGCAAACAATCTTAATGTAGTTTAAAAACACAACATTAAGTTTAGATAAAACAAAAGCACTATTATTACTGCTATAAGTGTAAACATGAAGAAAAATATGTCTTAGAATCTCATGAGGACAGGCATGTTCTAAAACCCACTGGGAGAAAGAGTCACTCTCAAAAAAAAAATCATGATTTTTCAAGGAAACTCCTTTAAATTCTGGCTTCAGCAAAGGAGGAAATTTAGAACTTGGTTTATGTTTTGCTCAAACAAACACGTGAACAGAGGACTTGAAATGCAACGGTGACATCCTCCACCCTCACTGCCAGAGCTGATCTTCTGCTGCCCCTAAGATGTGGAGGGAAGAAATGGAAACAAGTGGAGAATCTTGGTTGAGATGATCACTCTACCACAGAGAACAGGATACATATATCTTCAGAGTTCCTACAGAATGGACGTATGATGAGACACAAGGCACACCTTTGTATTTTCAAAAATGAGTTTAAGTTGTGATATTGATTTAATATTTACATTTAAAGAGAAACTAGTTGTTTTGGGGGATCAGCTTATGTTTAATTTTATGTAATTCGATTATACAGTATTTGTTATAAATGAAGTATCTCATATTTACGGTTCACTTCTGGACTGGATATTATATTTTTAACTCTTAAGAAAGGACATTTGAATTATTCTGCTGTTATCACTTACCAGTTTATTAAAATGTTTCATCTTTCATATTTTATTTACACTAGCATAAGGTAGTGATTTGGTTAGATTCTTATATTTACATTATACCTCTTACAAATTTCCCATATTCCTTAGTTTTTAAATTTTTTATTTGTTTTTATTTCTTGTGCATTGGTGTTTTGGCTGCATGTATGTCTGTGTGAGGGTGCTTGATTCTGAACTGCCATGTGGATGCTAGGAAGTGAACTCTGGTCTTGTAGAAGAGCAGCCAGTGATCTTAACCACTGAGCTATCTCTCCAGTCCACATTCTATACTTTTTGATACTTTATACAGCATGGTATTTGAACATAAAATTTCTTCAGCTTATTTTGTTTGCAGAGTGCAATTTGGAAACTTGTAGTGATTATGCTGTACTGTCCATAATTGACTTCATAAAATAATTTAGAAAATTATTTTCTGGAAAATGCCATTGTCAGTTCAATTATAACAAACAGGCATCTTTAACAAATTTAAAAGTTTAAGCTAATATTAACACAGTTTTTAAGTCAATCTTGTCTTTGTTTCCCTTCGAAGTTTTCACTCACTCTTGTTGTTTCGCTTTGCTTGTTTTGGTGTTTGTGTATTCTGTTTTGTTGTTAAGAATGGTTGTTAAAACTTGAGTATCTGTGAGTCAGGACAAGAGCTTTGACATCTCACCATTAACTACGAGCATCAGACCATTATATGCGTTGAAATTATATTTTACTAAAACCTATTAAATGAAGCATTTTATCATGTGAATAAATATGAAGAAAAATATTTATCAGCTTTGGCTATGAAAAGGCAAGAACTTACTGTAAACTAATCTTCCCTAATTTGTATCATTGTCTGAGGTTTTTTCCCCTTAGTACTCAATATCTCCTCCAATATTTCTGCTTCCATTATTATTTTTGATGTAATTTTCACAAAAGAAACTTCAATGTCCCCAGGCTTATTGAATTTAAGAACATCAAACAACCAGACCCATCCTATAGAAAAAGGTAAAGGTCTAGATCTGAGGGGAAAAAAAATCTCAAGAATCTGGAGCAGGTCAGGCATAGTTCAGCTAAAAGCTCTTGAAATCCAAGTTTGAACACCTTGTTCCTTGAACTTAAAATTTTAGTTAAAAGGTTTGCACATGCCAGATATTATTGACGAGGAGGCTGAGTCCGGTACAGGTGTGTTTTTCCACCTCATTTAGTCATCCTGACAACAGCATCATTTTTAGAAAGCACTGGCAACATTGTAAATTGATGAACTACAGTGAATTTTCAGCATTTTTTTCATTAGCATCATGTTAATGGTAATTACTGTTGTACTGGACTTTTTGTGTTATGAAGAACAAATTACTTGGTTTGAACTCTAAAGCACTTCACGATTTCAAACAAAAATTTAAATGTTGTCAGGATTTTCAAGGTACATTTTATCTCTTTGTTTATTAGTAGATGAAGTTCCATTCCAATATTGTAGACAACACAGCCCTGACTTGTTTCATGCAGATGGTAGACATGATTAATAAAGTGTAGTTTTTGGCTTATTATTAAGGTAGAGTTTCTAACTGCCTTTCAATATTTTCTTTTTATAGGTAGTAAAGAAAGCATGATTATAACATTAAATTTTATTGCAAAATCACATGGTACTAAAGGATGATCAAATTGACATTGCTCAGGTTGGGAGTGCTTTAGACTCATGGTGATGCAGGTGGCTTTTAATCCTGTCCAACACCTTGATCACAGCCCTGTGAGACTCTTTATTTTTTATACTTTATTTACTTTGTATCCCCCCCTCTAGTTCCCACCCTTCTCCCCTCCCAATTTCTCCCTTCCCCCCTTCTCCACACACTCCCCTCCCCAAATCTACTGGTAGGGAAGGGTTTCTTTTTCTTTCCTCTGATCCTAGTCTGTTAGGTTTCATCAGGAGTGGCTGCATTGTCTTTCTCTGTAGCCTGGTAATGCTGCTTCCCCTTCAGGGGGAGGTGATCAAAGAGCAGGCCAATCAGTTCATGTCAGAAGCAGTCTCTGTTCCCATTAGTATGGAACCCACTTGGACACTGAACTGCCATGGGCTACATCTGTGCAAGGTTTCTAGGTTATCTCCCTGCATGGTATTTGGTTGGAGTATAAGTCTCAGAAAAGACCCCTGTGTTCAATGTTTTTGGCTCTGTTGCTCTCCTTTTTGTCCTCCTGTCCTCTCCAGATCTTACTATTATTTCCCATTTCTTTCATAAGATTCCTCTGCAAGGCTCTGCCCTGCAGACTATCAAAGCAGATGTTGAGACTTATGGCCAAACTTTGGGCAGAATGCAGGGAGCCTTTCAATATTTTACTACCAAAAAAACAAACAAACAAAGAAACAAAAAACATTTAGAGATTGATAAAAACTGAAAGCTCAAACATGTGTTTCCCTTCCTAATACAAATAGATGGTTTTATCCCAAATATTAAAATTGTGGCTATTTAAAATTATTCAAAATTTTCTACATCAATTCTGCATGGTATCTGATTATATTTTCCTTTATATATTGCTTTGAAGAGTAATAAAATCAATAAAGATAATTTTTTAAAAAAGATGTGCCACATTGTCGATGCTAATACTATAAATTTATATGATGTGTGTTTTTCTTATAATTACAGAGTCTCATAAATACACTATTCTTTCCTCTGGAGAAGATGCAAAACCAGAGCTTTGTCAATGAGTTCATACTCCTGGGGCTTTCACAAAACCCGCAAATTGAGAAAATATCATTTGCTATATTTTTATTGGTCTATCTTGCAACTCTTGTGGGCAACATGATGGTTGTGGTGACCATATTCTACAGTCCTGTGCTGCTCGGCTCCCCCATGTACTTCTTCTTGGCATTCTTATCCTTCCTAGATGCCTGTGTCTCTTCTGTTGTCACACCAAAGATGATCATAGACTTGTTTTATGAGAAGAAGACCATCTCTTTTGAATGTTGTATGACCCAGGTTTTTGCTGTGCACTTCCTTACTGCAGTGGAGGTGATTGTACTGGCAGCCATGGCCTATGATCGCTATGTGGCCATTTGCAAACCCTCGCACTACTCTTTCATCATGAACAGGAGGCTCTGTGGCATTCTGGTGTGCGTGGCCTGGGCTGGAGGATTCTTGCATTCTATCATACAAATTGCCTTCACTTTGCAGCTGCCCTTTTGTGGGCCCAATATCATTGATCATTTCATATGTGACTTGTTCCCATTGCTGAAGCTTGCCTGCACTGACACACACATGTTTTTCATTTTGGTGTTTGCTAACAGTGGCTCAATCTGCATAGTTATTTTCTCCTATTTGCTTGTTTCTTATGGTGGCATCTTGTTCTCTCTGAGAGCCCATAGCTCTGAAAGGCGGTATAAAGCTCTGTCCACTTGTGGATCCCATATTACTGTTGTAGTTTGTTTCTTTGTCCCTTGTATATTAATATACATACGATCTACATCTGCATTCTCTTTCTAGAAACATGTATTTGTGTTTACAGATGTCCTGACACCATTGCTCAATCCTATGGTTTACACTTTCAGAAATAAGGAAATGATAAATGCCATCAGGAAAATGTGGAAGAAACTGATAGAGGTTCATGATTAATATTCTTGCTGTGTAAGAATGAGGATACTTACCACTCAAGTCCAAAACCAAGTATGGTAGGTCATCGTTAATGCACTGTGGGTAAATCAGAACCAGGCAGACCCCAAGAATGAACTGGACAACTAATCTATGAATAACATAGGTAGTTCAAAACCTAGTCAATCAGAGATATTTTTCTCAAGGAAATGAGATAGAGAAGGATATTCATTACTCCTGGGTGCTCTGCAGGAATGTGCATGGCTACCAGCATTTTCTTCATGTTCACATACATTATACACACACACATACACACACACATTCATACACATAACAAATACAACAAATCAAATAATTATACTTACTAAACCTAATGTAAACCACAAAGTAAAACCATATTTACTCATAAAATCCCTTCATGATTACTACTTTTAGAGAAGCACATGAAACTATTCTATCGATAATGTATTAAGATATATATGAGAAATTCATTTGTGCGATAACATTTTCACTATGAATTGAATATAAACATTAAAGTTAGTTACAATGATCATATATAGAGTTGAAATTGACATTCAGAAAGATGCTGTGAAACTTCCCTTTAAATTTTATAGTTTCAGTATTGATATACTTAACCATCAATAAAAACAAAAATCATTGACTGAATTGGGAGTAAAATAATATAGCATTTTATCCTTTTTCATAACTCATGAGTTATATATATCAGAAATCTGATTAGTTTTAGAGTGGAATACTTTATTTATTCACAAATATTCTAAACAATAAAAATTTTAAAATAATTGAACTATATGTCATAAACCTAAGGCAATATTAAAAGAAATTTAGCTATTTGAATATCTGTTAAAATTAGTTGATGGAACAAATGTGTTTTGGTTGATATCTGAGTAGATGGAAGGAGGGAAGTGAGTAGGAAAAGGAATAGAAAGGGGAACTTAGGTGGGGTTCAGGTGTAGAGAGATCAGGGGTTGGTAGGGTAGAGAGGGAGGACTGGGAAAGAGAACAGAAGTCAGTGTGTGGGGGGTTATCTCTTGGACAGGGAAGACTCCCTGTAGTCTGTGGAGGTGACCCTAGATGAGACTCCTAGAAGCAGCAGGATATATGAAGCCTGAAGTAGCTACTTCATATAGCAAGGTGGGATTTCCAGTGGAGGGAGGGGACACCAACCTACCCATAAAATCTTCTACCCAAAAAATGTCTCACCTACAAAAAGGGTAAAGGTTGGAGTAGAGACTGAGGGAATGCCAATCCAATGACTGGCCAAATTTGAGAAACACCCCGTAGGGAAAGAGCCAAACCCTGATTCTATTGATATTCAGCCATACATGCAGGGAGGATCTTAGTATAAATGTCTTCTGAGAGGCTTCATCCAGAAGCTGATGGAAACAGATGCAGAGACCCAGAGCCAAAGAAAAGACAGAGGTTTGAGAATTTTGTGGAGGAGTTGGAGGAAGGAAATGGAACCAGAGGTGTCAAAGACACCACAAGAAGACCTACAGAGTGATCTGATTTGGGACCATGGGTGCTCACAAAGACTGAACCAAAAAACAAACAAACAAACAAACAAAAGAACATGTTTAGGCTGCACCTAGACTCATTCATATAAAATTTTGTCTTGAAATTGGGAAAAGAAACAAACTAAAAATATTTCAAGGTTTTAGTGACGTTGAGATTACACCAACTAGAAATACAGAGAGATGAACATAATAGAAACCATATGTTATTAGAAACCTTATATTATTTTTCAAACTTAATATGTGTCCATGGGATTTCCCACAGAGTCTCACTCTACGTCCTTGACTGACTATGTACAACCAGCTGGATTCAAACTCTCAGGGACATGCTTGCCTCTGTTTATGAAGTACAGGATTAAAGTTGTACACAAACATGCCCACCACAGATGGGATTGTATTTCTTTTGTTTTAGATGTATTTCTTTTATTAACTACAGCTTATTCACTTTGTATTTCAGCTGTAGCTACCTCCTCCATCCCCTCCCAACCCCACCCTCCCTCATTCCTCTCTTGTGCTTTCCCAAGTCCACTGACAGGGTAAAGGAACTGAGGATGGCAGGAGTGGCTCCATTTGTTTTCTTAGATTCTTTCTTAAGTTGACTGACCTTGGAGTGACTTGACCCCCAACATTAGGTTCTGAGAAGGGCCACATGGCCCTCCACCCTACAGGTTGTCATGGATACCACAGAATGTGTAAATAGATAACTATAATCAGGTTTCCACCCCACAGGTTGTCAGGTTGTCATAAATGTCACAGAATGTGTTAGTGGGTCTTCCACTCCACCCAGCAGGCTATCCTACATATATCTTAGATATCTGTTGGTTTGGCCAGGTGGCTTGGAACAATTAGCCTAAAAGTCATCTCAAAAACTGAACCCCTTATGCAAAACTTACCCTTCTTTGTAATGTCAAGGGTTGGAATTCCCCGCTTGCCCTTTTTCCTTTAAAAATGCTGCCTCCCTGAGACTCAGGGAGTCTTTCTTTTTTATTTACTTTTTTATTATTAGTTACATTTTATTAACTTTGTATCCCAGCTGTATCCTGCTCCCTCATATACCCACCCAATCCTACCCTACTTTCCCCTTTCCAAGTCCACTGATAAGGGAGAACTTCCTCCCCTTTCATCTGACCCTCGCTTACTGGTTATCTTCAGGACTGGCCGCAAAGCCCTCCTCTGTGGCCTATCAGGGCAGCTCCTCCATTGGGGGGTGGGGAGGTCCAAGAGCCTGCCATTGAGTTCATATCAGAAATAGTCCCTGTCCCCTTTACTAGGGTACTCACATGGATACTGAGTTACCATGGACTACATCCAAGCATAGGTTCTAGATTATATCCATACATGGAACTTGGTAGGAGAAAAAATCTCATAAAAGACCCCTGTGCCCAGATATATTTGGTCCTTGTGGAGCTCCTGTCCTCTCCAGGTCATATTAATTCCCCCTTCTTTCATATGATTCCCTGACATAACCAAACCTTCGGCAGAGGGCCTCACTTTCTAACATGTTACTTCAAGGAAGAGTGGCAGCCCAAGCTTAAGTTTGAAAAACGATCCTCCTGTGATTTGAATTGGACTTGACTTTTAGTGGTCTTTTCGGGTCTCTCGAATCAGGCACTAAAAGGGGAACTCCTCCTCCCCTTCCCCTTAGATTTTAACCTAGCCTATCAGGTCTCATCAGGACTGGCAGCATTGTCTTCCTCTGTGGGCTGGTAAGGCTGCTCCCCTTTCAGGGGGAAGGTGATCAAAGAGCTATCCACTGAGTTCATGTCAGAGACAGTCCCTGTTTCCTATGGTGTCATTTTGTTCTCTCTGAGAGCCCATAGTTCTGATGGAAGGCATAAGGCTCTCTCTCCCTTGGATCCAACATTACTATGGTGGTTTTGTTTTTTGTCCCTTGCATAATAATATATGCAAGGCCTACATCTGCCTTCTTCTCAGAGAAACCATAGTCAATGGTAATTTTCAAAAGAGCAAGACAGCCAGAAATGGTGGCACATGCCTTCAATCCCAGAAGTCAGAGAGACAGAGGCAGGCAGATTGCTGTATTTTGAGGCTAGCCTGGTCTACTAAATGAGTCCAGGACAGCCAAGGCTACACAGAGAAACCCTGTCTAAAAAAAAAAAAAAAAAACAACAACCAAACAAACGCTCCAAAAAGAAGAGTAAAACATTTTAATTTGTTTGGTACTTTAATATTCATAATTTTGTGCACTCAAGTGAAAATACATTCAGATTATTATAAAGATAACATTGAATAGGAAAATATAAAATCAACAGATGGGGATACGGTGAAAAGCTCTCTTCTGGAAATGACATGCCTATTGCACATATGAACTCACAGTAGCTGTGGTCACTTACACGAGACTTACATGAGATTAAATCAATGGAAGACTCCATTGAGAAGTAGAGGAAAGGGCTCCTGAAACTTCACACTTAGTTGAGGGGCACTGACTGTTGATGGTATGTCAGGTAGAACGAGTTACTTTTCTTTAGAATTGTGGCAATGGTGTTTTTCTTAGGCCACAGTTAATGACCGCATGGCTATGTGTTTATCGGTAGCACTAATTAGGCTAAGAGGGATAAACAAATACAGAGTTATAAAAAGAGAACATAAAGTTCTGAGGAAGATGTGAGGGAGTCTGGAGAGAGTTGAGGAAATGGGGGGTGGATATGATCAATGAACATTGTATGCATGTATAGAATTTAATAATAATAAATAAAACAACAAATTTTTAAGTTTTTATTTTATATTCCAGAGCCACAACACACATACAGATCTTCAACTGGAAAGTTTATGAAGGATTGCAATTTGAGTCTAAAACCCTGGGTCTGAGCCAAGCGTACAGGTCACATCAGACAGGATGAGTAACAAAAGCTTTCAAACATGCCAGAATAATAGCCTTACAAAATATCATTGCTTACCATCTGTCTGTTTCACAGCAGGCACTATTCTGATTTCATCTTCTAAAAAGCATTTTTACTGTACTGTATTTACATCATTTTCAAGGGTCCTTCTCACTTCTCTAAGACCCTCTATGCCCCCATTCCCGTTCAAATTCATGACCTCTTCTGTAATTGTGAAGATTTTTAAACATATACCTTATACATTACATATACAAACAGTGATTCAAATTTATATGTATTTAAGGTTGACTATTTGTGTTAGGAAACGTGTGCCTGTGAAGATTACATGACAGGTTGACAAATCACACCACGAGGAGATCGGTTCCATGTGGGAGGTTTATTAGGAGAAGGGAAAAGGGGTTGCAGAGAGGTGAGGTGGAAGAGGGGGATGCTCTAGGAGTTCCCCAACATCAGGGTCATAGTCATCCAGCTCTGTGGGCAGAGGTTGATAATCCTGTAAAAG